TGTTCCTTCATATTGTTGAAGCTCTGGGTTAGCATTATGAGTATTTTCGAATGAGGGTTGATGCAACCGGTAGATCAGGTCTTTCACCATTACAGAAATGCACATTTGTTATTTGTATGTTGGCATATGGAGCATCTGCTGATAGTGTGGATGAGTATTTGAGAATCGGTGAAACCACGACACTAAAATATGTTAATAAGTATACAAGGGGAGTGATTAACATCTTTGGGGTACAATATTTGCAAAGGTCAAACACTAAAGACATTGAATGCCTAATGCAAATGGGGGAAGCACAAGGATTTCAAAGTATGTTAGGGAGCATTGATTGTATGCATTGGGAATGAAAAAATTGTGCAGTTGCATTGAAAGACCAACACGTTCAAGGCAATCATGGCAAGGCAACTGTTATGCTTGAAGCAGTGACTTCACAAGACTTATGGATTTGGTATGCATGGACGAGCTCTCGAAGTTCATTACATAATCAATCATACTGAATACAAAAAGGGCTATTATCTATCGGATGGTATTTATCCTGAATGGGGCACATTTGTGAAAAGTATCCTAATGCCACAAGAGGATAAGAGAAAATTGTTTGCCCAACATCCAAAAGGGGCAAGAAAGGATATTGAACGAGCATTTGGAGTTCTCCAATCCCGATTTGCGATCATTCGTAACCTAGCACGATCTTGGCACTTATACACACTCCAGTGCATAATGAATACATGCATCATATTACACAACATGATTGTTGAAGATGAACGTGCCATTTGCGGTGGAAATTTTGATTTTTTTTATGATCATTTGAACAATGACGCGACAATAATATCGAATGAGTCTAACATTAATTTTCAAGAGTTTCTACGTAGAAGATTTGATATTCGTGATAAATAAATTCATCAACACCTACAACAAGACTTAATAGAACATATATGACTACATTATGGACAGGAGAATAATAACAATTACAAATTGTTTATGTTTTTTTAATGTATTTTTTTTAATAAATTATTTGTGTCATGTATTGTGTTTTTTAATATATATTCATTTTACTTTAATTTATTTTAAAGATATAATTTTTTAATGTATTTAAATCAATGTTTTAAAAATCGAATCGGAGAATGAACTAGTAAAACTTTTAGTTTAAGGTTTAATTGGTTTAACCGCTTAAACTTGAATCGGTTAAATTTACGGTCTAACCGTTTATTGAATAAACTAATAAAAGAAACTAAATTTCATAGATATGTCACGCATAATCATATGTCCACAATTTAATAAAATAAATATACAAAAAATTCATTACAAGCTTAACACAACAATATCGATAGTACATATAATAAAATAGCATAGCTGTATATTTTATTGCAACCTTCATTTAAGAATAATTTGAAAAATTAAAGAATTATAATAAAATAAATGTTATGGACTGGGCCAACACTTAACCCACAGTCAAGCAGGCCCAAACCCCACTGAGTTGGGCCCAATAGGACCTCACGGATGGGCAGAAGATCCGTCGGGCACAACACTCTCCCCGTCGGGCATAGGCCAACAGCCGTCGGACAGGACCCTCGTAGCTGATCGACCAGCCTCTTTCTTCCCCGTCGCCGGGCAGCGCCCAGTCTGCCCGGGGAGCTCCGCGGGGCTCCCCCACGTTCTCCATGTGTCTCTCACGTAGAGACATGTCATAAAGTAACTACCCACTTCCTAGAGATTCGGTCTTCCTCCTCCCAGATAGCGCAGAACAATTACCCTAGGGCGAAGACCACGTGCTGGTCTTCACGACACCACGTCAGCCCTAGCAGTTGCCAACGTTGGGCCTGGCAACCCAACCCAACGCAAGATAACCGTTGGCCCTGCATTGTGGACTCACTATAAATACCCGCTTCACTAGAGGGTCAGATAACTTAACTTTCTTACTCTCTCTCTCTCTCTATGTATTTGCTCTCACTCTACTCGTCACTTACTTTGGCATCGTAGTGTGTTTCAGGTACACCCCCTCCTCTTTCATACTTTCGGTGAACAGCTGTCAGATCAACGACGCGTGGCAGGTCGCTGATTCCCTTCTGATCAAGTAAGATCAATAAATAAAATTAATTCAAACAAAAACTAAAATAATAAAACATAATAACTAAAATAAAGTTCAAATAATTAAGAATACCTAAATTAAATAAGATAGAATACCAAAAATAAACAATACAATATATTTAATTAAACAACAAAAAACGAATTTGAGTTGAATTATGACAAACAAGTCATAGTTGACAACAACAAATAATAATGACTTGAACGACAATCAATATTGAACTGAACGTGACTATGTTTGAAAGAGACGGTGTGATCATGATAGAGTGTAGTTGAAAGAAAAACTATAACGAAGTGACAAAACTTAGAAGGTTGTATAGTTGTAAAAAAATACGAATTTTTTTTTGTGATTGTTGAATATGTGTTAAGTTTTGATAAATATATATATATGAATATTTGAGAAATGTAATAAAATTGTTACATATCTGATTTTCGGTTCGATTCGATTTTTAAAATATTTATATATATATATATATATATATATATATATATATATATATATATATATATATATATATATATATATATATATATATATATATATATATATATGAATTTAAATTAATTTATTTATATTTTTATAAGATATAAATGTGGGATATATTGTGAAATTCATTTTAATGTTTTTGATGGATTATATGAATATTTGAGAAATGCAATAGAGTTGTTTAAAAAATATAAAAGTGTCATATAATATAAAAAATTAAATAGACCCTATTTGAAGAACCAAAGAGTTACGATGGATATTTATGGTCTCACGTTTTGAGGAATCTATCTCCTCTCTCAACTAAAAAGAGAAGCTGCAAATCCATTCACCCTCGTTAAAACCTCCTCTCCATCTTTTTTCAAAAATTCTCTGTAATAAAAACTAACAAAAGGATACCCATTTCATTCTCCATCGCCTCGCCTCGCCTCAATTCTCCATCGCCTCGCCTCGCCTCAACCTTCCCTCCGGCTTCCTCCGTACACTCCGCCGCGGGCCGCCCTTCATCAACCCCAAACTGCCATACATCACCAAACCGAAAATCAATCCTTTGCTCCCACCACCAACACCCGATCCTCCGCCCTTCATCAACCCCAAACTGCCATACATCACCAAACCGAAAATCAATCCTTTGCTCCCACCACCAACACCCGACCCTCCTCACACTCCAACCGTTATAACTTTTGAGCACCGCCGATAACAACCGGATTCCGACCACCCTTAACACCATTTCAGAACACACAACAATGGCCAGTACAAACAAGCCTTGTTGTACATCTTGAACTTCAACTTCTTCAATCAGGATTGGTGGGGAAGAGTATATTTTTATGGATACAGTACAACTTTGTTTTTTTTTCATTCTCTTGTTATTTTGTTTCTCTGTTTTGCTCACTATCATGAGGTTTCAATTCCTCCAAGTTGCTAAAACAATACTACATTTGTTCTGTTTTACCAAATTTGCCTACAGAAGATGAGAGGATTGGATTTGCTTTGCTTTGCTTTGATGACCGCATGCGTATTTCTCTTCAAAGCAGCACATTAAAAATACTCCATTCGATATATTTCGAGTTCTTTTTGAGGGAATTTCGTGTCGTGTATTTACTGTAATTGAGTGTGTGAATTTTGATTCGATTCTGCTGTTGTGGTTGCTGTATGTCGCATATTCAAACTCGCACACCTGTATTTGATGTCTATACACAACTCCCAACTAGACTGCCTTAACAGGACTAATTGCTATAATTTAAATGAATAGAAACATGTTATGTGAACAAATAATCATAATAACAAATACTATAACAAGTCCAGTTTTGGGGGGCACTTTTTGTACAAAGCATAAACTAAAACAGTCAATGGAATTCACATAAATTTTCCAATAGATGAGTCTCAACATGACACTATATGTACCAATGTGCAAGGTGGTACGAGGCACTTGACCCATCCTGAAAAAGACCTGCAAATGAGTCGGAGCTCAACAAAATCAATCAACCACCACAAATATTTTCCAATATATTTTACATGCACTAAGTGACAGTTATTCACAAATTCAACGGAAATAATACGGTGGTGACGACTAAGATGTTGATGGTGACCACCTCTTAGATGGAAAAAGTATTATATTTTGACAATTCAGTGAGCACTCGAACCCAACCAAGGAATGATTACCTATATCTAAATATAATACTTTTAGTGACAGCAAAGCCTATGAACTAAATCTTTAAGTGTTCTGCTGTGTGCTTGACTGATTATATAAGAACAAGATGAAATTCACTCCTACAAGTATCAGATCAATTCAATGTATAGAAAACTTCTCATTTGACCAAGAAAGCTGGAGTCACTATGGCTGCAGTCAAGGAGGCTCAAGTCAAGAAGCAAGTGAAGAAGGCTCAAGTCAAGAAGGTTGCTGTCAAGAAGCGAATGAAAAAGTCCATGTTCAAGAAGGATAATTCTAGTACTGACTCGAGAATGATCTATCTGACTCACAATTAATTCTATCTAGTCGAGAAGCACAACAAGTTTGAAAGAAGGTCGAACAATCTTCAAGTTTCAGCAGAAGATGTAAATCATTTATCCTCTGATTTTCTCATCTATTTTCAATACTTCATTTCTATATACTTGAGAAAATTTCAAGTTCTGAATCATTGAGAAGTTGTCACAATATTACAGCTAAGAAAAGGTTCTCCTTCTACAACCAAAGTATCTTCTGATACTCTTAAGTATTCTCAATATTTTTGTACAATTTAATTATTGAAATCAATATTTTGTATAATTTTAATTTTCCAAAATCCAAGGATGAAATTGGAAATTTATTTAATTTATCAGTCAAAGTTTTAGGTTGCTTATATATATAGTTACATTCCATTTGATGCAGCTATGAAGTAGTAGAAGAAATTTTATGGATCCTTACTTGTAGGAGGTTTGTTGTCTCGGCCAGGGATGTTCAGGTATTCTTCTCTAAGACAGAGAGAGCTGGTGTCAGGTAGTTATTTGCTTTGTCAGGCAAATGGGCAACCTAATCAGACACAAAAATAACCAGTTTCCATGAATGCAGACTAGATCAAAAGGAAATGTTTATTTTCAGTGTTGTTTTTCACATACCAGCTCATAGAGCTCCTTCCCATCCTCAGCAACATACTCGTAACATACCTAGACAAGGTTGAATAGGTTAAGTTTCTTTTTAAGTTCTCTTTTATTTTTCACAGCGAAGCAGTTTACTCACATCAAAGCTTTTGTTTCTTGCAGTTGTATCATGGAGTGCCTTCACACATATATCAGCCACATCAGCACAGCTGATGCCCTATAAATTATGACATTTGGTATTATAGTCAGATCAGCTATTCCAATAATGAAAAATTGTTCACGGGTATTTGAATATACTATTATTATTAAAGTTAAGTATTTGAAATAAATATGGTGGGGAAATAGGCTTTCCATGATGATAGTAAAGAATAGAAAACACTAACCCGAGATATTCTGTTTCCTTGATCAAATATTAGAGCACGCTGTCCACCAGGTTCTTCCTGTCAGAAAAACATACAAGATATTTGATAAGATAAAAATCACTATATTATATTTTCCCACCAACTTAGTGTTTGGTTTGGGGTATAGTGGTATACCAAGGGGAAGGCAGCAAAATCTCATCTCACTCTATGCTCCCCTCTAATACTGGGTGGATTTAGAGGGGGGCATATGGGTTCATATAATTATAAATACATTCCCGAAATTAACATTACTTAAATATTAGAAATGCGATATCATCCAAATTGGTCTCTTCAATGCCCCTTAGTTTTTTTTTTTTTCCAATTGGTAGGACTTACAGATACCCTCCGAATCATATATGTTTTCTCTCTACATTTTCCCTTTCCTTTACCTCATATATTATTAGATGTTTTGGCTTTGCTTTTTTCTTTAAAGAAAATGCATGAGTATAAGGGAGTGGTGACCAAAAATGCTCTGATCTGGGCTGTTTTTGTAAAGAAGGGCACTTACCGTTAGTGAACGAGATTCTTCAGTATTTAAAGGCAAGCTTGAGAAGAGAGGACTTTTACTCGAGGAAGAATGAAAACTTTCCTATGAGGTATATGCAGACGCTGACGGCGTGGAATACATAGTAGGTAAGAGGTCTACTTCAACATAATTTATGCTTTTGGGAGGGAATTCGGTGACATGGAGAAGTATGACATAAAGTTGTTTCGAGATCAAGTGCAGAGCAAGACTCGTTAGGTATGGGGTATGTGATATACAATGACGATACACTCTGATATGTATCGAATGAGTATCGTTATTTTTTATTAAAAAAAAATACAGATACATCCCGATATGACAGCAACTTGTTGCAATACACCACAGATACGGCTTGTTTATCTCTGAGTCTTCATTTTTCTAGAACATTAATCAAACTTTCCCTTCCTTAATTACTCTTCTCACAACTTTAACTACCTCTCATGATTGTTCATTTTTCTATGGCAATAATGAAGCTTTCTCCTCCTTAATTACTTTTCTCTCTCCTATGTAATTTGTGATTCACCCCTTTAATATTGTTTCACGATTAACATTTTTAAGATTGATTTCTTTTTCACATAATTACTTTACGAGTTATAAAATTTTGCAAATTCAATTGATTTTTGTTAAACAATGATTATGATTTTAACTCAAAGCTAATTTTAACTTTTTTATACGTATCTTAAACGTATTGTATCCTATATTTTTCAATGACCAAAGATATCGTTGTATATCGTTGTTGTGCTTCATTGGTGAGATGTTATGATTACCCCATATTAAAGTAAGAACAACCTATGAGATTACTGTGATAATTAGTCTGCTTTTAGCATTGGCCAACACATCATCAAGATAAGATTATATGGAGGTCCCGATAAGACAACTTTGTTGGTAGCTGTATAGGGACATTGGGTGCAGGGACGCGGGTTCGAACCCGCGACATCCCAGTTGTTTATCTTTAATAAAATGGACTCCAGCCTCTAGACTACTTAACCAAAAAAATAATAATTATATGAAGGTCTAATAACTACAACTCACATACTTGTGGATTTCAATTGGCAAATAATTTGACCAGGGGATTTACTACATTGAGCTTTCAAGATCTTACTTGCAAGCTGTGAATGGTAGGTATCATCTCACCAACTTTGAAGGAGAGTGTTAGTGTAATTAATTAAGAAAATTATTTCTTCTTTATTGTTGTAACTTCTACCACAACTGTTTATAGATTTTTTTTTATTCTATTGTAATTCTGTAATTAGGATAGATTCATTAGTGCGTATAAGAGTGTACCAATTCTGTATTTTCTCAATTAAGGGAGATGCAATTCAACTTTCATTATTCACCATCTATTTTTATGTTCCCCTAAATAACAAATCACAATAAAAGATCTCCTAGAAAATTATTTTTAAAAAATGATCTCATAGAGAGCATTATTGCAAAATTAAAACCTAAATAAAATAATAAAGGTAAATTCAAATAAACATCATCCAGAGGTAATTGATGCAACTAAATCAGGGCATTGACTATGAACAAAATTTTACAATCTTAAGCCCTTAAAAATCAATTTGATGCATGTTCAAGTACAAATTCTACCAGCACAAAACAAAAGTAACTTTACCTGCAATGGACCCGGACGAACTATCGTGTACCCAAGGCCAGATCTTTTCAAGGAATCTTCACCTGCCTGAAGAATTTGGTTTTAAGGTGACCAAACATACCAAAAAGGAAAACAACATACAGAAAAAAGAATCAATATCAAAAGTGGCGGATTTATATAGGGGCGGAGGGATTCATGGCACCCCTCAACTTCATATGACCAAGTGGAAAAGGTTACTTTTTTTTTCCGCGGAATTTGACTCCTGGTTCCACCAATTTTGTATTTTTTTTATTAAAAATGATGTAGTCAGGAGTAGAACCCTCGTCAAATTTAAATAATAAAATAATCACCACATCAACTAACAATTTATTTTACTTTTTTAAAACAATTTATATATATTTTCTCAAGATCCGCCCCAAAAAAAATCTCAAGATCCGCCGATGTTCTCAACTATGTCAAAGAAACTAAACAAAGAAAGGAACCTACCCTCTTGGCTTTAAGAACTTGCTCTCGCCTGGAAGGCTCAACACCTAGGCCAGTACATGAAACTAAGACAAAATCAGTTTCTTGTCCGGTCTGCAGCATATTCACATGCAAAATTTACATCAGGATTATAAGTATCATCAGCACTACTGCAGAACAATCGGACATACATCATCCAGGTGACTAGTTAAGCCGTGTTCTTTTCTATTTTCACTTTACTGGAATCAAGCAGGTAAGCAAACAATGAAAGAATGTTTGTTCTACAAGTATTTTCACACTGCCAACAAACTGAACAAACGATAACAGTATTCTTGAAATAAATAATTTAGATTTGATGATGATGACCATAATTCCCTTCATAACTTGCTCCATAATATCAATCAATATACCTAAACGAAAGAGTGTCAATAAATTATTATTGCGGAAAGCCAGTTTTAATAAAAGCTTGTCCAAGTTGTCAACAATTGGACTAGAATTGCAAGAATTACACGGTTGCCAAACCTAACTACTATTATAAATTGAAAACTATCAATAGGAAAAGTTGAGTGTTTCATACTCCAAATGAATAAAGGTAAATAATCATGAAGAAGAAATATAGTATGCCAAAGAAATAATGTCAAAGGAGAAAAAGTATATTTCAAAGAGCATCAAGTAACATAACAACATTAAAGGACTTCAAGGATTTCAGTAAAGAATTATAAATCACAAGACATTGCTACATTTATAAGAATAACCACATCTTTTAGAAGATAGAAAATCAATGATCTTAATAAAATAAATAAACAAGTGTCGTTCTTTGTTTCCCATACTGTTGTTGCCTTGATATCTTGCACTTTATTAACTAAATAAGATAAAATTGGTATAAATATTTTATCCTCCTCATCCGACTGAACAGTTGTGATTGTAATCTACACTTGAACTAGGTCATTTTACAGTACATATATACTGTGAACATTAGGCAAGCATATAATCTACATTGTCGTAGTTTATGCAAGAATAAGAAAAAATTGCATGAAAGAACCTACAGGCAAGGCTTTTATATATTCCAATATTAGCTTAAAGCTTCTCATATCCTGGTTCTTTGCCGTATTAACTTCAATACTCCTCTGAAACAAGAGTGAATGTAGGATCAGCACACAGCAACTATACCCTATTTTAAATAATATAATAACACAGGCAGAAAAAAGAGGGGGGAAAAGTCGTGTAAACAAAAGCAAGGAAATAGGGGATCTTAATTTTAAAGATTCTATTCAAAATGAAGGGTGAAACTTAAAAGTTCAAGTACAACAATCAACAATCAAGTCTTATCTCACTAAATGAGGTGGCTACATGAAATTGGATCAAACATCATAATGAGAACTGTCTTCATAATGAAATTGGCTATCATATATCACGTTTTTATCCAACTATTTAATTTCTAAATCTTTCTAAGACCAACTACATTAAAAAAAATACCGCTCAAAATTTTTTTTTCTTCTGAACTATGTTAAACCAAAGAACCGCAATTTCATGATTTATCCTAGTAGGAGAATCGGGAATAATATATATAACTTGATTCGCTGTGGTTTTGTTGTATTTTTTTTTTTCATATAAACCGGGTATCCTCTGTGAGCAACTGCAGAGACTAATCACTGGAGCCGCGTAGGACCACAATAGGCGGCAAAGCTCTTCATCAAGAGTTTTAACATTGCTGCGTGCCCAGGACTGGGTTCGAATCCAAAACCTCTAGTTAAGCTGGAAGAGACCCCGCCATCTCATCCAAGTGTTCTTGGGTTAGTTTTTTTTATTTGATTCTGTCATTATTAGTCCTGATTAATGAGACAATTACAATTGTAATCACTTTTCCTTCATAAAAAGTCCAAAAAAATAGTAATAAAGAGTGAAAGTACTATTCCATTACTTTCTACATTGTATCTGAGAGCCAGATTTTACAACCTTAAGATTTCCTTCCGTATTCCTAATGGAGCACAACAACACGTGGAAGCAAGCAGCAGTCCAGTGATGGACCAGGTGTGGGCGACAACAACGGCAGTGCCTACATGGACTGGGTGTGATGAGAAGCGGCCCAGGAAGCACCTTTTGGTGGGGGCGGGGCAGTGAACCAGGTGGTGGCAGTCTAGGAGGATTTTATGGCGGCGGTGGTCTGAATGACTTCTTTGGCAATAGTTTTTCCAAATTTGTTTGGTTATGTATGGGAGACCTTCTAATGCTCTCAAGGTTGAGGTTCAGTGCCTCGATGGAAAATATGGTTTCCTCGCAGGTGATGTGCACATGCTTACAATGGCAGATGCAAGTTACAAATTCTTGAAGTCTGAAAGTTCGTAAAATTTTGTCTGACAAATTAACACTATAGAGCCAGCAATATGAAAGCCTTTGATGTTCTTGCCAACTGCAAAAGATGATTTGGAGGATGTCAAAAGACACATTCTGGACAGTGGCATCCAAGCAAGGCGATAGGGATGTATATGAGAAATTGAGAATATACGTATCAGTTAGCTAGTCTCTGCAAGCTGTTCAGACAACTTGCAAGAGAAGCTTCATATTATAAAGGTAGCTTGCATGACAAGCTACAGTGTGTAGAAGTTAGTAATGCAAACTCATAAATTAGTGTGGGATAACTCTCGGGGTATGCAGGTTGAGGTCAGCTCAGTTATATATGTAGCTGACCAACTTCTTTGTAACTAACTAGGAAATTTAGAATATTTATTGCATAAACGCCTCTACAAAATGTCTATTAGCTTTCTTTCAAATTTAATATTTTGGAAGTGTTTAAAAGCAAAGGTGGAAGTGGTCCTATCGAGTAGATGTGTGTGTCAATATGGATCAGTGCACCTATCACACTCACCCTTACTTGGATGAGTTAAGGGCACCGAAAACAAAGAATCCCGAGTCCTTGTGAGCTATGAAGCACCAAGACTTCTGGGTTTAGGGTGTCTGACTCGATTCAGACACTAACACCAAGATGACACGTGCCATAAACACCAGACATGTGTCCCACAAAAAACTGTTTGATTTCCTTCAACACACCTTTACCACTCCGGACAATTCTTGAACCCAACTACATTGCAAACAGCACACCTGTGTCTTTTTGTAAGAAAATAGCTTTTAAAACGCACTAAAATAGTATTTTAATCAGATATTTGAAGTTCTAACGTCTTCTCCCTTACATATGTTTTCATCTACATTGGTGTTCATATTTCTTTCAATTTTCTATATTTCATATGTTATGATCTTCATCTTCATTTTATCCTGGTGGTCATCTTGATCTTCAATTTAGATTTAATCTCATGATTTTTCTGCATTGCTAGGGCCTTTTTGTCTCATGATTTTTCTGCATAGATTTCAATTTAGATGACCTTGCACTAAATCAATATAATAGTAACTGAAGAATATAGATTTTTCTGCATCACTAGGGCCTTTTTGTCTCACCCATTATCCATATATTTTTAAATCAAACAAGGGAAAGTTGTTGTGGAAAGATATTATAAAAATGTTATTTATATTATAAAGATGGAGACAAGACAAGTGCAAGGTCCAAAAACAGAAGTCAAGTTTAAGTAAAAGAATCGGAAACATTAAGGAATTGGAGATAACCTGTCTTCTAGGCTCAAACCGTATTGTTAATGTATGTACAAGAAAAGGGTCTAAAACTGGATCATCTGGTTGTACAGGACGGAATGATGAAAATGGCAGTCTAACCTGTCATAGTAATAAAGATAAATCTCTCATCTGCAGTAACAAAATAATTAAATTTCAAGAGTGTCCTAATTGGAATGGTTAAGTGATAGCGCCACTAAAGAGAGATTGATTCTTACCCTGCAAAATCCCACTTTTGTACTAAATCTTGCAAAATACAGTTTACTCTGATTTAGATCCGCCGAAGGACCAGCTTCTAGAATTAATACATAAGATCTTCCATTGCCACCAACAGAGATAACCAGGCCCTCATACCTACCATGAGGGATGAACTCATTATGATAGCAATTCATATATATACAAAATACAAACTATTCTAGATTACCTATCAAGAGTGGAGCCCAGAGGTAGAGAAAGCTTTTTTGACAGTTCTACATAGCCACCTCTACTTAAGACATACCCTAAAATTAAAATTAAAATTAAAATATAGGAGGGGTAAAAATAGATTCGTGGATTTCAATAATCTTGCAAAACCTGGTGGTGGTGTTCATTGATATCCTGGACATATACCTGAGAAAACAGCTTCTCCATTCTCAGTGAACTCAAATTTGGCATCCATCCCTCCGTCATATTTTGTGGCAGCTACATCTTTGAAGTAAGTTCCTTGGCGAGTTTCCCATCCATCGAGTGAAGATTCAGTTTTGAATTTAGCAAGCGTAAGCTTACTTTTGCTGCTTTTGCCAGCTCGCAACTGAGCCAATTTATTATTATGATCCTGAAATGCTTTAGTAATGTTATAAACTCCTTGATGATCAACCCTTAAGAGATCAGCAGTAATAGTAGAGCGGGCAGTGGCACAATATATAATTTTGTTAGAGCCTTGTACAGCAGCCATGACAGCGGCAGGATCGCCAACATCCCCAATCACTATCTCTACTGACCTTGGAAGCTGCGCTACCACCTCTTCATCTGCCTTCCTAACCAAAGCCTTTATTATTGGAAAAAAAAAGTTGATTAGCAATGTGTTTTGAAAGTGTTATACACGATTTCTTAGTGAGAAATCGGACCTTGACGGTGTAACCCCTGAGCATGAGCTTACGAACAACAATGCGGCCGATGCGGCTGGTGGCACCAACAACGAGAACAGTTGTATTCTGAGCGCCCGGAACTGCAAACTCGCACATGGGACCTTCACGGACGAGAAGGGCATCTAGGGTTTCCTGATCATCGGTGCGGATAGTCCTAGAAATCTGACCCAATCCAGAGAATTTTCTCCAAACATCATCGAATATCTGTCGCGATCTTCGACCGAGTCCGACCGGGTTGACGTCGTCAAGACTAAGCGACTGCTGTCGTTTATCATCGTCGTTATTTGGAGCAGTAGCCCTAGGAGTTAGTAGTAGAAAGCGGCGATGATGGTTACGCAAAGGATTAGCGAAGAAATTGATTTTAGAGGTTCGGAGAGTAGTGGTGGTAGGGTGATTCGAGTAGACAATAAACGTTGAGGGCGAGGCGGTCATTGTTATTGCTCAATGAAGCGGCCCGAGTGTGTGTTGTTCTGTAATCCCAATTGGAATTTCCTCATATCTTCAAACCGATCATTTCGACCACGTAACTTTGAAATCAATCCACAAATAAATCATGAATTCGGTGCTTCCACGTACACACCCTACTTCCCGCTTTTTATTTATTTTTATTTTATTTGATATGGATAAACCTATATCTTCCAATCATCTAATTAATCACATGGATAAACCAAATAAAATTTTGCGTTCAAGTAGGGCTGGCAATGAACCAAACCAACTCGAAGATAGTTCGGAATTCGACTCGACAATTAAATCGTTGAACTAGGTTCATGAACCAAATGAGTTGAGTATGAGCGAAAAATTAAGTTCGTTAACTAAATGAGCTGAACTTGAACTATACATAGTTCGACTCGTTAGGTTCATGAGTCAACTCGATTACATATGAAAAGAATTATACTGTCCTTAAGATTAGGTTTAAATATTTACTTCAAATCTTAGACAAATTTAATCTTCAATTTATTAGTTTTTGAATTAGACTCTCAAATGTATCTCTTGAAAGTTGTGTAGGTTTTGAATTAGTAGATTTCGAAGATAAAGTTAAATTTCAATATGATAACTTTTATTTTATTTTAATATTTTATTTTAAAATATATATATTTATTTAAAATGTCAAATATACTAAAAAATATATATATTTAAAAAAATAGTTTTTAAGTTCGTGAACCATGTGAGCTGAACCTAATGAGATGAACCTAACGAGTCGAACCGAACTGTTCGTGAACTTATAACGAGTCGAGTTTGAGCTTAAAAAAAAGTTCGTGTCGAACTCGAACTCGAACTCGAATTCGAACAATTCTTAACGAGTCGAGCCGAGCTGAGGTGAGTTCGACTCGACTCGACTCATTTCCAGCCCTACGTTCAAGCAAAAGAAGATAATGAATATATTGATAGTCTGAATTGTATCGAAGAGAGAGTGAAATACATTCTTTGAAATTTTTTGATTTTATAGACTGATTTATTACTTTTTTGAAATATGATAAGGATATGAAAGCGGTAAAGTGCAGAAAGTAAAGAATACAGAGAAATATTCTAATTCTCTTCACATTTCGAAGGTACTTCAGTCCCCTTTCACACGAAAGAGATTTCACTATAGTTAGCATCAATGTACAACTTTCTTTCTAACCTATAGGTAGATCAAAGACTTTTAAACACCTTTAAGATTTAAACACTAAATGTAGGAAGAACAAACATCTTCAATGCACACACTTGCTTTCAACAATCCTGAATAGTAAGGGAAAATAAATAAAATCTGATTTTGTAATGAGTTTGTAACAGTGTATACAATGTTTATCAATGTTGTGATTGATCTTCTTTTTCAATGAGAATTTTCACAAATATCTAAGACTTGTTGCTCAAGACTTTTCTTTCAAAGGATATGAAAATATGCAGAAAATTCTTTGTGAAAAGTAATTTTTAATTTAGATGTGGAAAGATGAGAATTTCTTAAACATTTTGAAAGAGGATGTTTTTGAAATTTGAAAGATTAGGTATTTATATTACACAAACACCTCTTGAAATATCATACAAATCTCCAGAAGAATTGATGAACAATTGTCATGTTTCAATGGAAACATTTCATGAAAGATTGGTTGAAGAGTGTTCGCTGTGTTTTCTGGCGAACAACCTCTGGTTAACCAATTTCTTCAGAAAGTTGGGTTACTTGCAGGACCAACCATACAAGTCCTGGGATACATGTGCATTTGGTTCTGTCGAAATACTCTTAGACTTTTGGTGACTAATTTGTGGTTTGTTTTATCAATATTGTCAAAGTATTAAGGACTTTGATTTTGCAAGTAACGAAAGTTTGAACTTAAAGATGAAATAAGGTTAAAAGTTTAAACAAGAACAAAGAAATGTCGAAAGGCTAAAAACTTGCAAAAAAGTAAATGAAATGTAAAATGATATGAACTTGAAGAAATAAACAAGTAATTTAAAATGACTTTGAAATATAACTGGTGTTTAAACGTACATTGTTCCAAATACTAGACTCATTTTCTCTCACACTGGGTACTTAGAGCTTTTACAGGAATTTTGTACAAATTTTCACACACACATTCTAACCACAAACTATCCTATTTATACACAAACAAAATAACTGCTTAGAACGGAAAAACTATAACTAAACGACAAGTGTCAGCCTGCATGTAAATTTCTTCTCTGAAACCTCCATGTGTCCAACTGCCAAAGGTTACAACCTTTGAATTTGAATCTCTTCCTTGGTGACGAAACCTTGTAACTCTTCAAAACTGTCGAAACCCTTTTAAAGGAAAAAAACTCTTCAGCACTTGCCAAACCTTATCTTTTTTTTAACAAACTTCTTCTGTCGAAGCCCTCAGTCACACACTCTCCAAACTATTCTGCCAGAACATTATATCTATTTCTGTCGAAACAATGAAACTTTAAAACCTTGTCAGTAATTCTTGGATTCTCCTCCTGATGCTATCCTTCGACAAAGATGACCTTAAAGCCTGAATTTTAATCTTGTCGAAATTATGGTCTTGTCGAAATTATGGGTTTACAAATTGCCCCCCAGCAAAAGATATTTTCGACTATCAAAGGAGAAATGTCTTTTGCTGTCGAAGTGATCTTTGACTTCCAGTTGCATTTAGCTTTGTTTTCATTGATTTCAATCCCCTTTTTGTGGACCACAAAGCCTAAGAAATCCCCAGCCTGCACACCAAAAGCACATTTAAGAGGATTCATTTTCAAACCAAACTTCCTCATCCTTTCAAAGGACTGTCGAAGATGGTTAATATGGTCGAAGCCTGAAGCAGATTTAATCACAATGTCATCTATATAAATTTGCATAAACGTTTCAATGAAATCGTGAAAAATAGAATTCATAGCCCTTTGGTAAGTAGCTCCAGCATTTTTCAAACCAAAGGGCATTACTACCCATTCATATGTTCCTATTGCTCCTGGACAACGAAAAGCTGTTTTTGGAACGTCTTCTTCAGCAATAAAAATCTGGTTATAACCAGAATAGCCATCAAGCATACTTAAATACTCATGGCCTGCTGCAGAATCTACTAGCATTTCTGCTACTGGCATAGGATACTCATCCTTAGGGGTGGCTGAGTTTAGATCTCTAAAATCAATACACACCCTTAGTGTGCCATTTTTCTTAATCACAGGAACAATATTAGCAATCCATTCGACATACCTTGTTGTACGGATGAATTTGCATTTTAGAAGTCTTTCGACCTCTTCTTTGATCTTCGACAGAATTTCAGGTGCAAAGCGTCTGGGGGTCTGTTTTATTGGCTTCTTCCCTTCCAGAATTGGCAACTTCAATTCCACCAAACTTCTGTCTAAACCAGGCATTTCGTCATAATCCCATGCGAAGCAGTCTTTAAACTCATTCAGCAGCTGGATTATTTCGATTCTGAGTTGAGGATTCAACTTGGCACTGATGTAAGTGGGCCTTTTCTCTGCCCCCAGTCCTAGATTAATCTCCTCTAAAGGATCCTGTGCCACCATTTTCATATTGGTGGAGGTTGGATCCTTTTCGAACCCCAAAGGTTCGTCATCATAAATGGCATCAAGTCTTTGGTTCTGCCATTCACTATTTGAGTCTTCTTCAAAACTCTGATTTGCATGTTGCTCCTCAATATTTTCTTGAGGGTGTTGTCCTTCGACAACCTGAGTGCTGGCTTCGACAGCCATATTTCTTACTTCAGCCTCAAGGGCCGCTTTGTGTTGTTTTTCGGCTATATAAGCCGAAATCCTTTCCATTGCTGAAACTTCAGTCATTTTCACTGAATTCACTTCCCCATCCAGTTGGGTTGACATGGGCAGTTCCCCAAGTGTAATTTGTTTCCCCAATTATTTCTTTATCCCACTGGAAACCATGTGTAGGATGGAGGTACATGGAACAGTAAGCATTGTCGGAAGCTGTCAGGTCGAAAGCCGCAGGATTGCATGGTGCTATATGGGCTAGGTTCTTGTCGAAGTTACGACTAGTGATATTGTTCACATCAGCTGTGAAGTAACTCTGATCTGCTTCAATGTTTTCGACAATCCCATCTGGCCTCCAGATTGCTATTCTTTGATGCATGGAGGATGGCACAGCCCCAATCCCATGGATCCATTCTCTTCCCAACAGCAAGTTGTAATTTGCTTTTGATGCTATCACCACAAACATTGTAGGCCTGGTGATGGATCCTACAGTCAAGTTCAATTGTATTACTCCCAGTGTTGTTCCCACTTTACCTTCATAGTTGGACAACACCATATTGTGAGGCTTAGTGTCGGAGTCATCTTTTCCAATTCTCCTTATCATGTAATGAGGAATTAAATTTACAGCTGCTCCGCCATCTATCAGAATTTTGTTGACACCTACACCCTCTACCTTTCCTTTTATGAAGAGAGGCTTTAAGTGAGCCTTCATTGCATCATCTGGCTTTTCGAAGAAGGCATTTTGCTCTTCGACACAGCCATTGTTCATTATGTAGTAGCATACAGGCTTCAAGCTTATGCTATCATCCATCATGTCATCCTCTTCGTCTTCGACTTCCATTATCCTGTCGAAGTCTCTGGGCAGTACAGAAACCACATTGCAAGTTACGTCGAAAGAAGCATCTGATTCTGAACCAAATTCATCTGTGACTTCTTCGTCCACTGGCATTCTATTGTTTGTTTTCTGCACCTCTGTGGTGTCACCAGATCTATTCTTCTGAATGATTTCTTTTTCTGCCAGGGGCATTCCCTTGTTCGTAATCTGCACACATTTGCTTGATTCAGCTTCCTTCTGCCCAACCTTTTGGTATTCTACAGTTTTCTTTTCAATTTTCTTCTGCCTTTGGAATCTTCTCCATTGGGATCTGGACATAGGATTCTTCCCTTTGTAGTTTTCAGAGACGTATTTTGGCTTTGCCTCCTTTTTAACTTCCATGGAAGGACCCCTGTTCACTTCAAAACTCTTCCATCTCTTC